CCCGCCCCGCCCCGCTCGCAGCGTCAACAACAACCTGCGACTGCCACTGCTTAACGTGTCACAATATTGACGGGCAGCAGGACCGACTCGCCGACACGGGCGACATGCTCCCGCGTTTCACGACTTTTCGCCGAACAGGTAATATACTCATACTCGGTGCACCGCGCGACAAAGTTTCGCACGCCAACAATACTGTTCTTGCTCTCTTATTGCCGTTACTTTACATTCGCCGCTCTCTTTTGCCATCGTTCGCTATCGCACCGCACCACGCGACGAGGAGCGCGTACGCGGGACGTGTGATGAAACTCCGGCAAGACGTATGCGGACTTTGCGCCAGACTTCTTCCGATATTTCTTTACTCGGAAATATGTCTATAATAGGTTGTTTTTGCGTGGCCGATGCGCGGTCAGTCGCCGCCGCCGCCGCCGGCCATCTTCACGCACGCCCCCGCGGCGTGTCGTGCCGAGTCGACTACTTGTTCGGATCACACATTTTTTCCCGCCTTACGTTTATTTAGTTTTTTTTCCAAACGCCGCCGCGCGCAAAGTCAGGCGGAGCTAGGCGCGCCGCCTGCCCTCGCGATAACAGTCCCCTATGAACACAAAAGCCTCTGTGGGCTGCGCCGCCGACGACGCCACGCCCGCGCTATCATCCATAGCCACCGTCGGGAGTCTGGGGGGCGATACGGTCCGCTCGGGTATTCCATTGGAGGCTAGAGTTCCTCTGAAAGGACGCCGCGAAATCTTGGCTTATTCAAAGAGAGGACGGAATGAGGAGTAAAGTTTGTACGGTTTGTATTCTCTGAAAGCAAGAATGACAAAAATAATAATTGGCAAGCAAAGCAAAGCCCACGGAGTTTTACACTTTACAGTGCACCCTGTCAATATACCGTGTACTGCTCACCGCTGCTCACACTGTCGCCTCCAGATAGCAACGCAGGTTTGTGCACATTGTATGGGGCCTTCGTGTGTGCGCTACGCTTTAAAAAAAACGTTTGCTTGCGGTCTAAAGCTTGGGCCGATACCGTATGGGCGCAGAGCCACGACTCACCGGGCTTTTTTGTCGGTCAGGTCAGTGACAACCTGTGACTCTAAATTTAACTTGCTATAAAGTTCAATGTAAAGACACATTACAGTTAGTGAAATCGCATTTTTTATTACGTCGCGTAATACATTCACTCTGATTTGCACCCGCGGAGTACCTCTTGGAGTGAGTACCCCTATAGAAAGTACCTCTTAAAGTTCCTCTTGCCGCTCCGAGCCGCTCACCTTGTCGTCAGCGCCGTTACATGATAGATGTCGGCAGCAGCGGCGTGCCGAGCGGCCGAGCGCCGGGGCGGGGCCGGTGTGGGGCGGGCGTCATGGACGCGGACGCGCCCCTCGCCCTTGGGCACTTTACTGCGCTTCCCCGCCAGATATTCAGAAGGGAGTAAAAATACACCCCTCCGAGGGAGAGAGAGAGAGAGAAAAAACAAAAATACAAATTACCTCTTTCTTGGTGGAATGCTCCTGTTTGTCGCTATGGTACAGTTCATGCAAAAGACCATCCATGTGTGTACCTATCACTTTCCGTGTGCTGCTCTATTATCTTATTTCTATTTCTTCTCATGCCGCCTTCTCTCTTTCTCTCAATAGCCGAATGATCTTTATCCTCGTCTTTGTCCTCCCCTTTGCACTAAAAGCAGTGGCTGGTGCGTCCGTCTTGAGCCCCCAAGGGCAAGGACGGTGTGGGTTCAATTCCCGCGGACTGCGTGCATCTGTCTCTCTTTCTCTCAGTTTCTCTCTCTCTCTCTCTCTCTTTCTCTCTGTTCCTCTCTGTTTCTCTCTCTCTCTAATTTATGTGTATCTCTCCCTACAAAAGCAGTAGCACTCCCCCCCCCCTCCTCCCCGCGCCTATCCACATCCACCCCTCACACAGAAGTTTGCATTTATTTTCGAATAGCTCTTTCTTTTAAATATTCTTCAGCCCTAATTATTAGAAATCACAAATCTAAGTTCTTCTATTCAGGGGCCATCCTGAGCGTCATTACGAACCTGATATGCATGCACCTCCCTGACGCGCATAGCGCCTGGTAGGTAGGCAACGTCTGGCTTACAAGGCATGCGTGTACTGCGGGGTGGCCTACTCTGAATCTCACAGGCGCCTGGCTCATATTTCATTTTCTTCAATGAATCTTCGAAAAATGGGTGTTCCGTCCTAGCGATTCCTCATTCAACCAAGAATCCTGTACTTACATACTAGCCTCAACACAACAAAACACAAGAAACACACACACATACTCACGCGCTGTTTTTCTGTTTCAGCAGCTGCTGCTGGCCCTGCTGGCGCGCGCGGCGTACAGCGAAGGTCAATGCCTCTCGTCCTAAGAACTCTGTCACACTCGTTACCCGGGTTCTTTGCCAGACAAACACGAGAACACACGCACACACAAGCGCGACTTTATATTGCTACTACACTTCATTTTGTCGTGCGCCGCGATAATGTTGGCTGTGAGGCATTACAATGCGGTTGGGCTGGCACACGGGATCCCCACGATCGTCCCTGGCACCCACGGTAGGTCTGCGTTGCGCGCCGCGGGGGGCAGCAGGGTGCAGGAGGCCTATGGTGACCTACGGTATCAAAGTGAATAAGTGAAGTGACTGCGGTGGATCCGTTCGACCTTGAGCGCACTCGCGAAACGAAAAGAGGGCAAATTGTAACGTGGTAAATACTGTTTCGCGGTTTCGACTGCCACGACGACGACACGCCGTGTCAGCCCAGCAGCTGCGAACGGTGCAGCTAGATTGTCCGGCCTATTTTTCTCCGACCTGGTAATTTTTCCGAAACCCACCAAAGTGCTGTTCGACCAACTTTTCTCCGACCTCGTCGATATGCTAAAACTTGGGAAGAAATTACTTCAAAGAGGAACAGGCTTCATAAATAGAAAGCTACATCGAGGGACGTATCGTGAAAGCAGATGACACAAATTTAAGGAAATATGTCTGTGTCCTAATTTTCTCTCGTATTTTGCTGTAATTTGTTTACGTTTTGAAGTGCGGGGAACAGCATATCAAAATATGACTTTTGGGAAGTTCCTTACTTATCTTTCTCCGACCTCGTCGATATGCTGAAATTGGGGAAGAATGTGCTTCAAAGAGGAACAGGCTTCAAAAGCATCAAAAGTAAAAAATAAAAATGGGGGAGTACTTTCCTCATCCCACCGCAGTAGTTAGCGAACTGTGGTCTCTGTTCCGAACAGCCGCTCCCAACCGCAGTGGTCAGAACATACTCCCGGGGTTTGTGAGACGGTTGAGGCGTACGTTGGTTAAACTGTACTGACCCACCACAGGTCATGGAGTCCTTTTCAGCCAGTTTCTAGGTCTTATTATGCACCCCGCTACCACAGCGAGGTGCCAGGCACCGGGGCGCGAACCCCGGCCCAGAGCCGACACTTAATTGACACCTATGACGCAGTGCCACCAACAATGGTAACCACTACGCCATCGGAACACCACAAGAGGGGCGAGGTGAAATGACGGGTTTGAGGTCCATTTGAAATTTGGTGGCCTGAGAAAAATTTCAGATCGACGGGGATTCGAACCTCCGTCCTCCCACGGTCTGGGCGGGCGCGCTACCGACTGAGCCATAGAGGCGAGATACGGCCTATCGCTCCAGGGAATGATCCATTCTACGCTGTCGCTGACTGCTAAAAAAAATGTAAGTGTGAAGAAATATTTTTTCTTGTTCACACAACATATACTTATTTGTGCGTTTTGAAGTGCGTGGAACAACATATCAAAAGATGGCGACAACTTTTTGGGGGGCGCTTAGGTGAGGGATCAGACGGGACTTAGCCGCTGTATCGCTCTTTTAGCGACTGCTCACCTCTCTCCCGGTTCGGCGGTGGCGCCAAACGTCCGGGTGGGCGACACTTCGGGTCCATGCTGACCCAGCCGACCTCTCACCAAAGTAACCCATAAAAGTTATCCCTGGACCTGCACCCGGACGTTTGGCGCCACCACCGAAACGGGAGAGAGGTGTCCAGTCGCTAAAAGAGCGATACAGCGGATAAGAGTGTGTCCGAATTCCCAATCGTATCGCTACGAATCGGTCGGAATGACGAAGGGGAGGGGGTGGTCAGCAGGGAGGGCAACCTGCAGCCATCCCTCGCGAAAGGATGTCGCGATGCGCGCTCGTCCGCGGGGGTAGTCGCGAACCGCGACCGACCTACATCGACGACGTAAGTTAGTCGCGGTTCACGACTACCCGAGTGCGAATCGCAACAACCTCGCAACAACCTCGCCATTCCGACCGATTCGTAGCGATACGATTGAGAATTCGGACACACTCTAAGTCCCGTCTGATCCCTCACCTAAGCACCCCCCAAAAAGTTGTCGCCATCTTTTGATATGTTGTTCCACGCACTTCAAAACGCACAAATAAGTAT